CCCTGTGCCTGGCGTGCCAGCGTAGGCCGCTCGGTCGTGTGAGACCTTCGCTGGCCAGCCGTGGAGACAGTCGAGGGCTGGGCCCGTGCAGGACTAGACTCTGGTCGGGCATGTCCCCCTGCAGGCAGATCTTGGACGACAAATAAGAAACAAGTCTAAACAGATTCAAGGACAGTCACAAATCATAAACGAGCTCCAGACAATTTTGTTTTAGTAATCTGGGATACTACTCCTATAGAGGGACAGGCCAGACTTAGGACTGGAAGACGAAACAATGCCATAAACATAGACTTTGGCGCTCCACGCGGAATTCTTGGATCCGCGCTGGGCCCCCCCCCTCCCTGGAGCGCGAAACGCGCCAGGGGCGGCGCCGGAGGCGCCGCTGGGATGCCCTTTGGAAAATGACCCATCCTGACCATCGGTTTCGACCGTGTTGCAATTTCGGGGGTCCCCATCTGCCCCAGGGCGCCAGCCATCCGTGTCGCATCCACGCCGGACCCGTGTCGGACTCGTCAATTCCGTGTCGAATCCACGCCGAATCCGCGTCGAATCTGCGCCAAATCCGCGTCGAGTCCGCATCGACCCCGCGTCGGGCATCAGAAAAGAAACCAATTTGGGGGGACAGGCGAGGTCCCCCGAAGATGCCAAGTCATGTGCGCAGGCGTGACCACGAGCGGGGCCCACCCCCCCACCCCCGGGGGCCCAGCGAGCAGAGAGAGCCGCGCCCAACCGTGGCCACGAGACGGAGAGGCGTCCCTCGAGGACCCCCCCCCAAACAAGGTCCCAACATAGAGCAAGAAAAGGTACGTGTTCGACTGACAACGGCGCAAGCCAAAGTCCTCGGATGTCCTCACGGATCTCTTGGATCTGGCAGGGGGGGCCCAGCGCCGATCAAAGAAATCTGGGTGGACCTTCGAAAGATGATGCGTACGCCGTGCGCCGTGCTGCGTGCGTGCGTGCATCGACAGCAGCCTCGTGCATGAAACAGGGGACGACTGCCCCAGGCCTACCACGAGATGTTCTCCGAACAAGGTGGCCACAAAACCTTTATAAACTTCCACCCCAACATTTACAAACTCCCCCCGAAGAGGGGGTGGTTACTAAATGATCTCCCGGCGGCCCTATTCACGGACTGGTGTCCCACCTAAAGGGGGAACTACTCATGTACTCCCCCGCGGCACCGGCCTCGCAACAACGACGCCGAAAGCTACGGCGACGATTGCGACTACGACTACGACGACTGATTCCACTTCTGCCTCAGAAGCGCTCCCCCGGAACATCCGACCTCAGAAACTCAATTCTAAGAAACACTATCCTCCGAAACTCCATCCTCAGACGGACTGTCGAAGCTCCAGCCCCACCAGAGCCCTCAGAAATTCCATCCTCAGAAGCTCCATCATCATAAGGATTATGAGCAACGCCTTGGGCGAATAATGTGTCGATCTATCTTGGGAACATTTTAAAATCGTGCTCAAATTCCTCCGTCGCGCAGGGTAGCCAAGGGAGCATGATTCCCCGGAAGAACAAAACAAAACATGATCCAACCCACCCAATAGGAGAGGACCAAAAACCCGCCACGACGACACCGACGCTTACGACTACAACACAAAGTTACGATTACACTTACGATTACAATCACGACGGCGATTACGATTACAATCGTGACTACAACCACGATTATAATCGACTAGAACCACGACTACACCAACAGCCACTGATGCCCATTGCGATCCTCATGAGAAGATGCTCGCAAAACATCTCGCATGTAGGGTCGCCCACATTCGACCATCCCCGGGGAGACATAATCCCCCAGGATTATCCAGCCCGCCCAACAATAGAGGGAACAAATCTCCGCCGCGACGGCGATAACGACGACGACGACGACGACCGCGACGACTACAACAGTAGTCGTACTAGTTATCCACCGATCCGACGTGTTTGTTTCAAAGACCATCATATATCTATATACCTATACGACCACCCTGCGGGTGATAAGGAGGTTGGGGGGGGGAGGGGCCCAGCAATGGGCAACAGTGGTGAATGTTGTTGTGACAATGCCAGTGGAGATAGTTGCGTTGCCGCTCGCTCTTGGGAGCGTTGGTGTCGAGTTGTTTACGTCACCCTTTGCTCTTTGGCGCCTTGGTACCATTCGGCCCTCCCCCTGGGAACCTGCCCAACTTGCGCAACGGCAGCTAACGGCACCATTTGTCCACAGAAGACTGAAGCGTTGGCAAAGCTTGGCGCAGCCCGCGCCCCCTCTTGCACTATCGATCTCACTATCGATCTCTTTATCGGTCGGACAAGAGAGGACGGACGGCGACGGAGCGGAGTGGGAGGACGACGACGACGACGAGGACGCGAAAACAGCGCCGGAGCTCCAGGCAATTTTCACTCGGCAGCCCGGTCCAGCAACGACCGAGGATCGACGACCGAGGATCGACGAACATGGCCCCCAAAACCCTCGGAGGATGAGGAAGCTAAGATGGGGAGGAGGAGGGAAAAGGAGAGGTCCAGAACCGATGGGTGCGTGGTGGAGGGGAACTTGAGAGAAGACCTCATTCGCTGTCTCAGTCGGTCTCACTACCGATCTCACAATCGATATCACTATCCACGTCGTCATCATCATCATCATCGACATCACCATAAAAATCATCATCGCCATCATCATCATCATCATCATCATCATCATCATCGTATTCATCATCATCATCATCATCATCATCATCATCATCATCATCATCAATGTCGTCATCATAATCACAAACATCAACACCATGAAGGCCATCATCACCATCAGCATCGCACAATCGATCTCACATTCGGTCTCACTACCGATATCACAATCGATCTCGCAATCGACGTCATCATCATCATCATCATCATCATCATCATCATCATCATCAACATCATCATCATCATCATCATCATCATCATCATCATCATCGCCATCATCATCATCACCATCATCATCATCATCATCATCATCATCATCACCATCATCATCATCAGAATCATCATCATAATCATCATCAACATCATCATCGGGACACCGACGGGACACGGACGGGACACCGGCGGGACACCGGCGGGACACCGCGCCGCCCCGGCCGCCCGGAAGGGAATCATTTCGTCCGGCCGCGCCTCAGCCACACGGGACACCAGCGGGACACCGGCGGGACACCGCGGGCCCCCGGCCGCCCGGAAGGGAGTCATTTGGTCCGGCCGCGCCTCAGCCACACGGGACACCAGCGGGACACCCACCGGCGGGACACCGCGGGCCCCCGGCCGCCCGGAAGGGAGACATTTGGTCTGGCCGCGCCTCAGCCACAGGAGACTTTCTCTCGCCCGCCCACGCAGCTTCGCCTCGCCCGCACGGCACGCACGAACACGAAACCGAAATCGATTTCCCGGTAGGGGGGCTCTCCGTTCCACTTCGATCTCACCCCCCAACCTCCGATACATCTATATATATATATATATATACCTATACGACCACCCTTCGGGTGATAAGGAGGTGAGGGGGGGGGAAGGGACCAACGTCGCACTCGATCGATCTTACTATCGAACTCACCTCCGATCTCACAATCGATCTTAATCGATCGATCTCACAATCGATCTGACTATCGATCTCACAATCGATCTCACAATCGATCTCACATTCGGTCTCGCTATTGATCTCACAATCGATCTCACAATCGATCTCACATTCGATATGACTATCGATCTAACTATCGAACTCACCTTTTATCTCATTATCGATCCTACATTCGGTCTCACTACCGATCTCACTATCGATATCACAACCGATATCACAATCGATCTCACATTCGGTCTCACCATCGATCTCACTATCGAACTCACTATCGATCTCATTATCAATCTCAATCGATCGATCTCACAATCGATCTGACGATCGATCTCACAATCGATCTCACAATAGATCCCACCATCGATCTCACATTCGGTCTCACTGTCGATC